AAACTATATATGTGGAAGCCGTTTTAAATACTGCTGAAGAAAGACCACTCATGTAAGAATAATTACTGCTGAATTTTAATGCTTCAAAGTCCACAGAGTATTACTTAATTAAGAGAACAATTACGACCCTATCAACTAACAAGAGTTCACGAAATTTTGCCCCAAGATAACAATGATAACTAACAATCGATACTTAATTGATTATCATGATACGAGCCATGTTTTGCGGGATACCTATGATTTTTTTATTATTTTATCAAAATCTATATTGTCAAATTATACTTAATCCAAAGCAACATTTTTTTTTTTCTCGAAAGATGTATAACCCATCAATTTTCAGATACCATACCTTTTTAGTTTTATCCTTCGGAGTCTGCAAAGCCATTAGGATGTTTAAGAAATGTTTACCTTTAACATATCTTCCTTCAATAATACCCCTCAAACTATCCCCAGTCACGCCCACAGCTATTGGGAATAAAATGTTCAAGACAGTTGTTCTTTATTCGTGAACAAATTTTGACATATCTTTGCCCAAGAAAAATTAAGGAAAACTTTAATGACAAAAAAAATATTAAGTATATGAATTATTCTCACTATTTTTCCAAGAAGAACTCATACGACATTTTTTTTATAAACGGCACGTCCTGTCTATAAAATATATGTAGATCTTATTAGGAGGGGCGGTTACATTAAGTGTAACCATAATACAAATTTATACCCAATGTTGAACGATTTTTTTTTCAAGTCGTTAATATTTTCAAGAGGGAATTGCGTCGCACTGCAAAATTAGAATCTACAAAAATAACAGGTGCGAATTCCTAACCAAATAACTAACCTTAACCCACATCTCCCTAACCTACTCCAGCCACAGCGACTACCCGCAAATGATTTGAAAAAAAAATTGGCAAAACACGAATATATTTTGGAGCTTCGGGCAGACCTTGGCCCAGAGGCTTTGCGTGTAGCAATAAAAGCATCCATCACGCTTTCCGAATATCTGTCATTTTCAGGGGCGACGGGACACGTTAAAAATACGAATTTCCTCGGCATAATTGTGGCAGGAATTAGATTACCGGCGACATCTGTACACGTCAACAAGTCGATTCCTAACTAAAAAAATCGCACACAGTCACACAAGTTCCCAGATATTTTTTTATATTAGCAGATTCAATTTTAGCAACACCTTGTTTACAAATGAAACAACCCAAGATTATTGACAATTTTATTTATTTTTTTAAATTTTTAATCGCATCCCTAAGTGCTGTTGTAATCTGCTAAGTTTTCGAGTTGTTTGATATGAGTTTGAAAGTGTCGTGCTTTGGGGAAGAGAATTTTTAACTTTAGTAAGTAAATGCATTTGGATATTATTGCTTCATAATTTAATCAGAAATACTTCAAACGGGTTGTTTTTTAGGCATATGTTTTCCAAAACTACAATTTTGTGATTAAATTATCTATTACCAATATCTTTGGATTATTATAGATAACAACTGGTACAACAAACCATTGTGAATGCATTATACACTATTTACTTGAATTCATAAACTCAAAACTAAATAAACACGGCAGCTTTGCATACACGTGTACTTCATTTATCTAAATACAAACTGCATACAAAATGAATGTACTCATTTACTGATTTGGAACATTCAGTATTCGAAAATATCACGTACAGTGTACCAATCGGTAATTAACTAACAAAATATTCATTCATTTAATTTCTCGGTTTATTCTATACCTACTATAGGTTCCGTCCTATTTAAATATTGAAACATAAATAACGTAAAACAATTGAGATTACTAATAAAAAATGTCAATATAATAATTATTAACAATTTAAACGGATTTAAGTTTCCATTGGAGAAGGAAGTGGTAAAATAAATTAAATAAAATGTAGGTGCAAGTTAAATTTTAATTGTATTTAAAATAATTACGATTTCCGAAACACCCACATTAAAAAAAAAAGAGACAAAAGAAGCAATTGAAACTATGGGAATAAAACGTACAACTTTAAAAATAAATACAACATACAGCTTTAAAAATCAAATATACAACGGTGACCAGATTTACGAACCAAACATATTTTTTATGCATCACGGTACCAAATAATAACCTTGTAGATTCGCACTTGTTAAAGAGGCTTTGTTTTGACTGGGCCGCAAGCGTTTGTTTTGACGTCAAAATTTTAGAGCCGTTGAATCAATATAATGGCTGTTTTATGGCCCTCTTTAAAGTGGAAAATCCCGTCCAAATGTTGACCCTTTGGAAAAGATAATATCGGGGCAAATACAGGTCAGCTCTTTGCCCTATCTGAACCCTAAACTTTTAAATGCGTGTCCCAAGCAGTTCCGAGAGAATCCAAGCCAACTGCGACCGTCTGGAAATGCAATTTGCAACAATTACAAGAAGTGCATAATGTGTAGGTATGACACCGAGTTCAACGCACTACAACACTTGATAACTGAGGCTATAGTACGTTAAGATTTGAATTTTTTAAAGTTTGTTAACTGATATTCCTAATAAGTAAAAAATGACCCATTCATCATAAAAATAAAAGTTGTAGGTATTATTTAAAATTTGTAGAACCTAATGCCTAACGAACATTATGTAGAACTCCATTACTTATTAGTTAGTTAGCAATGTTTGATAGGTGATGATAATAACAATTATTATTAAAAACAGTCAACTGAAAGTGCCAAACTTAATAAGTAATTAATAATTTTGAGTCTAGTACAAGACTGAAGTTGGTAATACGGTATAGCGATTAGTTGATAGGTAAAGCAGTCTGTTCCATAAATATCCGCATTTCGAAGAAACAAGTAACATTCTGTAAGTAATTGACGTTCCCGATGTGTAGAGGATGTACGGCTATACTATCCTGCTGGTATCAATTACTGCAGAATGGGATACTTTGATCGAAATGCAGAATTCCTATGATAAACCGGTTATCCGGAGAAGGTCATAGTTCTTGTACGTTTCTAAAAATAACTCGCAGAAGAATGTCGCTATTGAAAGATCTGGCGGCGAGCAGTAGCGATAAGATTAGCGATAATTGAGCGATAAATCGGCACCATGCTCCACTATTTACATAAGGTGATTTCGCCGGTGTTTCTGTCTGAGTGCGTGAAGAGAATTTTATCGGGAACCGGCGCCAGAATCGATCCTGACGTCGCGGCAGAGCATGCGGACTGAATGGTTTTTTCTGCAAAATGGTTGCCGGTATATCTTGTTAGGTTAGAACAGTAATTTTAGGGCAAGCTGTTGAAGGTAATTGTTAAACTAAAAAGGGACTTACCTCTTCACGTCGTTTTAACCATCGGCCGCAAGGACTTTCCTCTAAAATTTCGCTTTCGTCTTCTGAATCCTCGCCACTTTCTCTGGGCGATTTGTGTTCCTGATCGTTATTCATGTGACTTCCCGACATTATAATTTACACAAACTATCCCAAAAAAACACCACCTGTACCTTTATCGACGACAGGCCAATACAACTCCAAAAACAAAGGTATTCCATCAGAGCATAATCGAACTGATTCACTTATTGACAAATTACTGTTACTATGCACTACAATAAGATTTCACACCTATTTAATTAGAATTTCTTGCGTTTTCGCAAAGATAATTCAACATTTTACACATTTATAACGTGAAGAAATATTACGAAAATTCACCACTGAGAAAAGACAGTTAACGGCACTAAATAACCTTCTGTAATGTTATTGAACTTATATTTATATACTGCTGTATGAAGTCTTTATTCTAATCACAAATGAGATGTTTCAACAATTTGCAAGTCCATAAATTAACCAAAACACTGTGAAACACTGCAAGACTCCGTAGCACAACAAAAATAACACTGACGGTTGTGTATCGAAAACTATTCCTGTGGAGTGCTCGATGTACTCACTAACTTGTCAGACTCGGTTTCTGTCGTGCGCATGTGCTCGTGGCAACAATCGGGCAGTTACCGGATTGGCTGAAAGAGGACGCTAGCAACAGAGTCTTCAAGCTTCAACTCAAGGTCAGCGCGAATTCAAAATATAAGTGTGGTGACAGTAATAAAAATAAAGTATAATGAATAACATCTTAAGAGAGAAAGCATTTATACCCATGAGGTTTATATTTAACCAGATAAAATGTAATCTACACTTCAACAACTGAAATTTAAAGAAATGTGAAAATATGAATAATTATAGATTTTTCTGTGAACATACATAGGTAATTATGCTCAGGTATGCTTGGTATAATATGATTTAGGGACTATTTAAGAGGATTAGTTCGAATTTGGCCTATTAAAGGACAGCATAGTTTATAAAAATAATGATTAAATATTTCCAACAATAATTTAAAAGCAGTAATATTTAATTTGTGTTCGAAATCTATTGAAGAAAAAAATCAGTGATTACATAGGTATTTATCATCATTTATTGACAATTCCATTAGTTTTTTATTTGATGAAAAGAAGATAATCACTAAAGAAGAAATAGAAAACTATTACAGTACCATCTGTTTATTAGTAGCAAATACAAATTTTCTGGACTCGCAAAGGTTGCTAAATTAAAAAAATAATGGGTAGGTACCTACTTATTTTTGTTATAAAAAAAATTATATTGGAATCAAACTGCAACTGCTTGTTCTGTGTTAACGAATTAAACGTTTCTGTTAAGTCTTTACTCCTTGTGAAAAAATATTCAACTTATTCTTAAATTAATGTGATGAATTCTGGATGCCAACTTAATTACTATTTTGTACCTGCAAATGCAACACGATAATGTATTATTTATATGCAAGATGTTCGTGATAAATCTATTTACTTTGACGGATTTTTTTCTGTATTCATTGAAATATTTATTATGTTTTGGTAGCTTTAAGGTACATATGTTTTGTAATATCTTTACATATCCATCAGATTTTATATTGGATCATTTAGGAACTTTAAAGTATTATTTCATTCGCCTCACACACAATTCAAATAAACCAAGTCGTATTACATAAATAAATATATTTCATCAATATTAAACAATTATATTAAACATTTAAACAGAACTCTCCGAAGTCGGTATCACGCCCATGTCATCTCTACATTTGGGGATGTATAAAGTGGCACATGTATGTTCCCAAATGTCCTGTGGATACTTGTCTTCGATCGTCCACAACCCAGTCTCAATGTCGTAGTACTCTATGGCCGCTGTGTCTTTATCAAACATTGCGTCACTGTGAAAACCGCCTATAAAGTAGATTTTCTGTTCGACGCAGACTATGCCGGCATGATAACGGGGAGTGGGCACCTGCGTGACTTCCTGTAAAGGAAAAATTTTGTGTTTTTAATTGCATATTTCAATTACATTATACAGGGTTAGTCAGATTAACATTAGATGCGGAAGTATGTGATAGTACTTTTCAAAAGGGGTTTTTCATATGTACATTTTTATAAATATGCTCGCTCTGCGATACGGTTGATAAAGTTTTGAAAAGAGTCTACAAATTTTTATATTTTCCAATCTAAGACATACAAACTAAATTTAAAAATATTTTAAAAATACGAAAAATTCTTTAAACTTGTTTACCTTGAATTTGGGTTTGGAAAAATATTCACTTTAAAAATCTTATTTATTTTCAAAAGAACTGTCACATTCTCACCGGTTTAACAGTAAGTCTGACTCACCCTGCATAAAACCTGTTTTACATTTACCAATTTTTGATCCTATTGTCAAAGAAATTAATCAAGAAATTATAACAATTCAACATATTCATGGCACCTTTTTACACCTTGCAATAAATGGTCCTACTTATTAAATTCTCTTAAAAATTTTGTTGTGTACAGGGTAACACAAAACTGATAGTTGGCCACCATTACAGGAAAACGCAAAGAGCAAATAGAAAATTGCAAGCGGGGATTTTTATGGCATAATGATACAGAGTCTAAAATTTTTTCAAGCCCCATAACTAGCAATTTTGTTTGAAACAATAATTTTATTTACTTTATGTTGGCAATTAAATTTCGGTAAAATTAAAAATTATTAAAATAGTAAGATCGAGGTTAAATTAAAACACCGACTGTGATTGGTGCAAATTTTAACGAGGTACTATTCAACCAATCAGCTGTAGCATCGTCTTGAGCATAGAGGTAAGGGTTTGTCATTGGTCACTGTAAACGAGTCATGAATATTGGCGACGTCAAAATCCAGAGAATTTTTGTTACCAGGTCCAATCGAGCAATGTTGGGTTGCCTAAACTCAAGGGTCAGGTGGCTTGTAAACATCTGTGAAGGCTCTGCATATAGTTTCTCATTGTCATAGCCTGCTATATACAACAATGGCACCAGATTCTACACAGTAGTGCATTTGTTTTTAGTCACGGCCAACTTCATCCTTTTTAGAAAACATGAAACAGCTATACCTAACTTTTTTACTGTTTGAGGTATGTAGGTATATACTTTATTGGCAAGCTTATTAAAAAAAAATTAAGTTTGATTTCTAAGTGGAAAACCTTCAATATTATTATAAGAATAAGTACATCACAGAAATTCTACACAAAAATCAGTGGCGGTTCGTGACTTTTTGAGATGGGTGGGCAAAATATTTTTTCTCTCATGTAACTTAGTATCATAAATTAATTGCAATCTACATTAGTCTATTTACTTTTGAAAGTGTAAAAAACTTAAGAATTATGAAGATAGTTAATATAAATATACCTGAAAATTATATTAGTTATTCCAAAAGTATACCTAATAGTTCAGCAAGAACAAACGAGAATGTCATCACAGTGATTTCTTGCCGGAATAGGGGATAAGGCAAGGATTAAGGCAAAGAAGGACATAAAAAATTATATAATTCTCTAAATAAATAGTAAAATTCTCTATCACTTTTATAGCTGAAATTACTAACGATAAATTATACTAAAATTCTAATAAGTAAATAAATAAATAAATACATAAATAAATAAATAAGTAAATAAGTAAATAACCAAATCAATAAGGCGCTTTACAATGTCTCTATTTTCGTCCACGACTTTATTATGGTTTAAAATATTCTCACGAAATGCAGAATCAAGAAAAGTTTGAATGTTTTGTTTTCCTAATAATTTAAATTTTAATGTTGAATATGTATGCTCCTCCAATCGCTCGTGTTTTTTAGATTAATTTATATGTTTCAGATCTGAATATCCTAGATAATTCCATGGAGTTTTACTTTTTTCATTAAATTGTAAGTAATTTCAACAATATAATTTGTTTCTAGTTTCACTACCTGTTAACTACTCATATTTATTGTACCAATTTTTACTAAATGATCAGTTACTTCCGCAATTGTTTTTATTTATTAACTTTTTCATGTCAGGCGTAGGTTTTAATTTTGAAATAAATAATTTATCATCGAAAGTTAACATACAAAATTTTTTATTTAATAAAAAATTAATAATATCACCATTGCTACTCACCAATTCGCTATTTTCGGCTTGCCATTTTGCTTTACTCCAAACTATTAAACATTAAAAACTTACCTAAACCACTATACTAACCCTAACCTAGAACTTACAAACAACCAAGTCGTGAAGTACAAGGAATAACAAATCTCTACCTTCCTAATCTATGAAATAAAACTAACATCAAACCGCAGATTACACGTAAGTACCCGAAGAATATACGAGTGAAGTCGAAGGGCTTGCCCGGAGAGTAGAGTTATTTTAGGTAATTATGTATATTCAAATGATAATTTATTAAAAATCTGATTGAAATAAAAAAAATATATTAAATAGAAGCTATTTTTTTTAATCGAACAGTTTATTATTTGAAAAAATAAATAAATATGTATCGAATTTAAAAGTCCTAAAAATAATTTATATCACTTCCATATTTACAAACTCGAATCTATTAAAATATTGAAAATTTTTCAGCAATCACTCTTAATTTAGTTTAACAGTAACGCTTCAAAATAACATTAATAAATATAATTGTCGAAGAACATTCAACATATAGATATTTATTTTTTAACGCGATTTACAAATTATTATAAAACGGTTTATTACTTCATTTACTAATATTTGTTTTCTGGAATACCTTTGCAGGGAAAAATTGTTCTAATGTTCAAAAATTCATTTAAAGAACAAAATTACAGCAAATAAATATACGTATATATATTTCCAGCCACTGGTGAAACACACTAGATGGGTGCTCAATGGGTATATGCGTGCTGTGTGCGGTGTGCGGGCTCGCCCGACTTGAGCCAAATATTCTAAATTAGTGATGGACTTACGTTTCCGATTACTGTCTAGTCCTAGGTGCGTATATGCATCCAAGGTACGGTTGGGGTACGGCGTTGTTTAATTCAGCGGACACGGGCTAGCCCGAATGTTATGTTGGTTGCTGCCGAGATCATAATTAAAATATAATTTTTAAATTTGGTAGGGGGAGTTTCAAAGGAGGTAATGCATTTTAGATTTAATTTTATAAGAATTGTCAAATCACTTTGATAAATATATACACAAATTTTTGTTTATTCTTCTGAAAATTTCAGGGTGGGCACTGCCCACCCCGACGAGCCGCCACTCACAAAAATGTCTATGTAGTGTAAATATTTATTTCAGAAAAAAGGTCAACTGTAACCAGAAGTCATCGGAATTTTCAATTTTTTCTGAAAACAGCAACTTTCTATCTTTAGCAATAACCCAAATATCCTAACATAACATTGAAAATTTCATAGAAAATGAGCATTTTAGAGTAATTTTTAGTATTCAACATCGCACAAGATTCGGGAATAAAAAACAACTTGGGAAATGGTGCTGGTAGATCACCTAGTAGCAAACTCGGGCACTAAATTTTTTGAATAACTTTCAAAATTCAAACTCAAGATGAGGCAAAAAAAGAAACTTTGAAATTGGTCAGCATGAGAGCTTTAGTCAGTTTGGAGGCTCATGGAGTAAGGACGCGATTTTTTTAGAAGTGTTATCTAGGTGGAGGCTTGGGAATAGGATATAATTTAGAAAATCGAAGGGAAGATTTAAATTATTATTAATTTGGATTAATTATATTTTTGTCAGCAAAATTTGGTGGATTATATTTTATTGTAGTAGCAAAAAAGGTTTGGATGACAATTAAGTACCATTTAGGTGTCAGATATTGGTAAAATAAAATAACTAGTAATATTCTGCAGTAGAGAGTATCTGCTGGCAATTATAATTGGTTTTGGGGAAGTTGTACAAGTCCATTGTGCAAACAACTGTGTTAAGTGCGATGGTTAAAGCAATAACCACAACTTAAAGTATTATTGCTTTACTATTATTTATTTGTTGTCGAAATTCTGTTTTCTAAATTTTAATTCCTATTTTTACTTGTATTCATTCTAATTTTGAGTCGAGATGCAAATTTCAGGCTAATTTTGAGCCATGTTTTGTTTTAGTTACAATTTATTTTGTAATTCCTTTTATATTCGGCTGTTCAAAACCACATGAGAAAGAGATAAATGTTGGCCATATACCTGACATGGTAGCAGCTATATAACTATTATACAAATTATGTAAGTTGTTTCAGCGGATATGATTTAAGAGGGGTAGGGTACAAAGTAGTGTAATTTGTACTACAGTTGTCTGCTGAAGGACTGGCAGAAATTATCAGGTGATTTCTACAAGCATCTCTGTTGAATGAGATGAAAAAGACAAAATTTCCTCACCGATCCGATATCGTACAATTAAAACAGTATTCTATCACCAACAGATTTTCTATTTGACACAGATTAAAAAACCCTGTAATTTTCTCAGTAAAAAATAAGTTGTTAAATGATTCTATTTTTTAAATATTTAAAATTATAACAAATGTAAAATTTAACCAAAATTAATACTTATTGAATAAATTAAGTCACTAAAAAAAACAACAAAACTTGGTCGATTTTCGATTTGTTGCATCAAAAATTGGTAAATGTAAAACAGGTTTTACCCTTACCTCCCAACAATCCTTTTCCACATCGTAAGCATCGATCGTATCCACTAGTATCCTGGCCCGGGTCTCACTGTCCTCCGTCCATCCTCCACAAACATACAAGTACTTCCCTATCGAAAGCATGACATGGTCAGCTCTGGGCTTCAACATAGGAGCGCAAGACTGCCATTTCTCCATGTGGACATCGTAACAATACATATAACTCTGTACGTTGTCCCTGTCGATACCACCGCTGATATAAAGCTTGGAAATGCAGTTGTTCTCATAACTTGCACCTGCATGTTGACTAACGTAAGCGGGCAGTGGTTGGATCATATACCAGGAGTCCAGCATTGGGTTGTAGCATTCACAGGTGCTTGTGTTGTTTTCTTCTACTTCACTAGCGCCACCTACAGCATACAGCATGTCTCCTACTACGTTCAGGCTGAAGCGGCAACGCTCAATCTTCATGGGAGCCATCGTGGACCACTTGTTGTACCTGTGACATTAGAACATAATTAATACCTTGACATCGATAGTCTTTTAAGATAACACAACAAAAAATGGTATGGATTTTAATTCTTCCAAATGTCATTTTCAAATTATTAAGTGTTAGGTTTTTTAAAAGGATTCCTCAATGTTAACTTTAGTAAATTATTTTACGTTTCATTAGCTAGAACTACACTTCCTCTGTTTAATCTCCATATTTTCAGACTAGAAGAATTACAGCAAAAATTCTTAAGATACATTTAAAATTTCATTCCTATACAGTTATATCAACGATTTAGTAGATCTGATGTCTGCAATTTTATATGCCCAAAAAACATACAAGATAAACTATTTCGTAGTACTCATTATCAACATTAACTTTACGTTGTAGTAAACGTATTAAATTAAACTAATTCAAACAGATTCAGATGTTTTTTTTAATTGAATTTCCCATGAAATAGACCATTACATATCTTTGTGAAAAACCAACAATTTTTCTAATTACTTAATTTATTTTTTACTTTTCTGCATTTGTAAATCACTTGTTATGTAATTTTTAATTGTATTTTGTTTGTTTTTTTTACTGCATTCTGTTATGTTGTAATATTTATGTTATAATTTGATTTGATAATATTTGTTCTCATTTGGTGTTTGCAATCAATTTATGATTGAATTTAAACGACCCATGTATTGGGTGGTCTGAATTTTATGCAGGAAACTTCGAGGACAGATAAACTAAAACTGCTGTATCTTTTCCATTGCGTCACAAGCAATATTCGTATGAACTAAGATGAAAAATCCTAGTCAAATTAGTTACTGATTTCATATAATTCAAAATGTCATCTTGACAATTCCCAAATCTGGATTTCCGGCAAATTTTAATACTGGTGTTATTGAATATGAAAATATGCCAAAAAATCGATATTTCAACGCTTAGAAAATATATATAACAGTTAGTACGGAGACGCGATCAAAACAACTGGCAAATTTTTAAGCTGTCAGTTCTGTTTTTAAATGCGCTAGTCAAACTATAGTCTAAAATTAATTCCCAACAAACGTCCTCCATTTTCTTTCACTCTAATACACATAAAATATTAGAACGGTTGTCTGTGATAGATTGAGACTAGGAAGACATTTATACCATCATTGTATCTCTTTTTAGCGCGTTTAATAATGAAAACACGTCTGCAACGACTGTCTTTGATATTAGGACACACATGTGACGTAATGGCAATCTTAAACGGTTCTACTATAGATCTATTTAAAATAGTAGGTGTTTACCTTATAAACATAGGTCTGGAACGGCCTCATTTTAGAGATACGGGATGTTGAAGTTATTAAAAAAAATTGATTTTTATTTGTATCTTCGGAATCTATTAACCAAACTCAATGAAATTTGGTACAGATAATGTATGATAGTGGTCAGTACCCCTCGCCTTGTGAACGTAGCCTCATTGGTCCAAAGTATTCTTAGTAAGAATCCTAGATTATGTTGTGACTTGTTTAACAACTACATACTAACAAATCATTCAGGCGTCTCTCTGCATCTTTGAAAGTAAATTTTGCACAGGTTGTAAATGGTACGGATTTCTGCCATCCTTATGCAGAACTCTTAATATTTTCGATTTACTTACCGAAAGTTGTACTTAGCCATGGATCGTAGTCAAATAGTCTTAAAATTTAATTTCTTGCCTTTCACTGCGCCGATCGTGATTTTGCAAATATAGTTTTAATTTAAAAAGACGAAAGCGACGGGTGTAAAGAATTTTGTTGATATGCTTACAAATTACATTTACTTTTAAGAATCTTGTAATATTATGGTTAGAAGTGTCTGCCACAAGGGGATTGTATTGGTATGGATAACTTGAGAACGGCGAATCTTAGGGAAAAAATTCAAGTTACCTTTTTTACGTATTTTGTGCATTAGAATATAAATCTCTTACAATAATTTGTAAAAAAATGCAGTGGCGTAGTTTTTTTTATAAAAAAGGGCGCGACCCTGTCCAGTTGTACACCACTGGTTGAACCTTTAGAGCTCATATTTTAGGGAATGCAAGGCCCACTGTCATACATTATCAATACCAAATTTTATTGGGATTGGTTAATAGATTTTGGAGGTAGAAACAAAATATTAATTTTTTTTTAACTTCAACACCCCGTATCTCTAAAACGAGGCCACCCCAGATCTATGTTTATAAGGCCACCTACTATTTTAAAAAGATCTATCTTGCCTCGAAGTTTCCTGCATAAAATTCGGACCACCCTGTATAACTAAGACTTGTTTTAGATTTACGAACTTTTCAATTAAATTGATAAACGAATTGTCCAAGTTATATTAATACATACACACGTGTTATAACGAGCGTTCAAATAAAAACGTGATCGAAGTTGGCTCTGACACATTGGACGTAGGGAGTAGCTTATAGTGACCAACTTAACCTCATTTCTTAACGAGCTGTATAGCAGCTGTCAGTTTCAATAACGTTAATGACTATATAACTTTATTTAAAAGAATAATCGTGATAACAATAACAAACAATTAAAGGAGCTTTTTTTAACACTGTGTGGCAGGTACCGACTGATACTCCCACCATTTGTGATAAAACACGTACAGAAGTTCTTGGCGCATTTTCCATTATTTGTTGGACATTTTCTTTTAATTCTTCAGTCCGCTTTTTAGGTCGGCCGCTTCCTTCTTTTCTTGTTACACTGCCCGTTTCACGAAAAACATTAACACAACGCTGAACTGCACTTTGGAAAATTTTGTACTCAACAACGCCGGGAAATTGATTTTGAAATTCTATGAAACATTCCTCAATAGAAGTTGATAGCGGCGATATAGCGCTTTGATAGATGACGTTTAAGTTCATTTGCTATATGCTACGCCCTACGTCCAAATTTTCAGAACTAACTTGACCACGTTTTTATTTGAACGCTCGTTAGATGAACTCAAGTTTTCCTGATTTTGTTCACACATTTCATTTACAGGTTCAGTCTGTTATGTATTGAAATTATAACTCTTTAGAGAATGGTTTAGATATATTTTATTGTACGATTTCCAGTATTAAAAATACATTTTATAGTAGTGTAGGTAGATAAGAATGTGTTTAGGTAATTTTATTATTCAATGTTTTCTCTTTCTTTACTGCCTTTATTTTTTTATTTCCTGTAGTTATTTATTGCATTTTACATAATTTCTACTTTCCCATACTATAACTGGTTTCTTGAAAGGGTAGGATAATGTATTCTAAATAAATAAGGAAATAAATAATTAAACTTTGGCAAATTTGAGACAATGGAACTTGTTCCGATGTATTTTGATAACTTAATATTTAGTCAATTGCACCGACTTTAGTGTTACATTCTTCAATTTTGACCCTTGTTTATGTGTTTATTATTGCAATTATTTAATGACAAAAATCCATTATTTTAAACTTGAAAAATATATTGAACAGTTTATCACAACCTGTAAAAAAAAAAGTGTTACAAGAGGATATAACAATTTTTTGAACAATTTATTGGATCAAGAACTGGTAACTGTAAAGCAACTTTTATTTATTCTAATGTCGAAAATATGTGAATTATGAAATGAATTTATTCATAAACCAATAAAAATAAACCTGAAAAATATATATTCTTACCTTGGACTATATTTAAACCCAAACGGATGTATATTCTCCTGCAAAGACTGGTTAAAGCATCCACCGACTATGTACAATTCGTTATTGAACACCGCCGTTCCAAAATTACACTGCTCCACGTGTGGTATGGACGTCAGATGCTTCCATTTCCTCTCCGTAGAAAAGCAGTAGGTTATCTCATTTGTTATCCCACTTATTCCAAATCCACCGATCTTCAACACAGCCATCTCCATGCCCCTTGAATTGAGCAAATTGGAACTGAAGGTGGACTTATCTTTGACCGATTGCAGACAAACTTCTTGGAGAATGAGCCGGTATAACTGCCATTCGTATTTCCTGTCCTCAAAAGTTTTGTCCAGGATGCTGTGTAGCTTCCTTTTGGAGATCTCGGTGAAGTGTATGTAGCGAATTATTCGGACAGCATAAGCTATGCGAACGTCTAACCTGAAATTGTAGTTATAGATAGTATTCCTGACACAAAAAAAAAATTTAATTTCTTTGGTTGAAGTTTCATATTGTATCGATTTTTGTACAGCCGTGGACAATAAAATCTTTCCAATTCAAAGTAGCGAAATGTTGAAATTTTGGGTATTTAAATGGGGTTGCTGACAACAGTGCATTTTAGCCTGACCCAAATAGGAACAAATGTAGTAGGAAGTAGTTCTGTTTGCTTATTCTTGTATTTATATAAAATGTATCCAAATTCAACAAATAATGTTTACAAATAAAATGGTGTTTTGTACAGGGTGGTCAACTTTTATTTTCTTATTTTCAAGACAAGACATTGACATTTTTATTTGCCTCATGAATCAACCAATACTATATTTTTAATATAAAAAGGCATGAATGCAAAAATATACATTTTTTATTATTGTTTTAAAACTTTTGTACCACAAAATAGGTAATAGACTTTAAACAATACAAATAAAGCAATAAAAATGTGCATACTTAATATAACAAAATGAAAAGACAAAAAGATTCTAGTTGCATATTATCACAAGAAATTCTTCACTATGCATTCACAGAATTTACTTTTTTATGTTAAATGCAAACACCATCTATGTAAGGTTGAAAATTCAGCAATTTTACTAAGGATACTATTGCTGAATTGTGCAAAAAATTTGTATATTTTGAAAAATATGCAAAGGTGTAAAATTAAGGACATTTGATATCCTACAGTCTTGGCAGGATGCAGGAGAAAAATTATCTCATACGGTGAATGACCACCAAAATTCACGACGGTTGATAGTTTTCTATGGATTAAGATTTAAGGGTTATAAACCTGAATTAGAGATTTAGCTTAATTTGGAACCTGGCCTTTCGTGATTTTGTTTTTTTTTATGGACAAATAGTAAAAACTATTTTAAGCTGCCATAAAATGAAAATAAATCATTTATTTTGAAAAATCCCTGATCCATTTGCTCTTGACAATACAAAACAAATATATTTTTCACAATTCACTTCAAGTGTGTAGCCACAGCTTTAGGGAATTTGAGAAAAAAATTACTATTTTTTAAAGGCAGTCTGTACACCAATTAGCAGTATAGTGTATAGTCTCGGTCAAACCATGACGTTACCAGAAACAAAATGGCCACCAAGAATAGTTATGTTAGTGAAGGCCAAGAAGCAATATTTCCTTAAAAAAATTTTGAATTTTGATAAGTTTGAAAAAATACGGAATATCAGCAGAATGGGCTTATTTTTTGAATAATTTGAGTATTTTTTAGATTAGAGAGATTGTAAGAAAGGCACATTTATTTTTACATAACTGTATTTAAAAGAAACTACTACTGCACTACCTACTATTTTAAAAATTGCACTACTCACCTTTTTCAATTATTTATTTTTTTTAATTTTCCACTGAATTTAAGGTTTACTTTGATAAACACATACTACCTACTGGGTCTATATTGCATTGTTTCAGTGTCCTTTCATAACTCATATTTCTACTAAATACAGTAATTACACTGAACAGTAAGCATTGGAAACATTTTATTGTCCACAGCTGTACTTCGTAACATACTCATTGGTATCCACGTGAAAGAACCAGGCAAGGACGACCCTCAGTACATCAGCTTCAGAACAATCAACAGGGTAATCGAACGCCAACAGATTTTCTAACTGTTGAGGTGTAAGTCTATAAAATTCTGCGCTGTTAGAAAACTCTAGTAGATGTCCACTCATAAATCGATAGACTTTCATCCGCAACTGGGTCAGGGAATACGTTTCGGCTATGGTGGCTATATCCACGCAATTGTCGATATCTATCTGGGCCTGCAGATACCCCGAACAAGTCTGGATGACGTCGTCCATCTGTACATGAGAAGCTGCTTCTAGGACATCTTGTACATTGGCAATGTTTAAGGCCAGTCGGGAAGTGTAGGCATATTCCAGCAACTGGTGAAATCCTGTGAAAATGTTTGTCTTTCAAAAAATTATAATTTTTATTCTTTGGTTTAAATATTCTATTGTTTTGTTAAATTACACATACATATAGTCATTTTTATGACACGCTCTTTTATTATAGATTAAAGAAGTCTGCTTTATTTGTTACTGTTGCTGCTGCTTTTGTTAGTTATTACTGTCGTTCCTGCTGCTGCTGCTGCTGTTGTTGTTGTTGTTGCAACTGTTGCTGTTGTATACAATATAATCAATAACAACGAGAGCAACAGCAGTGGTAACTACAACTAATTATAATCAGAGTATATCTTACTAAATAGTCAGAGATTCCTTACTGTAGTAGTCAAAAAATTCCTTGCAAACTCGGTAGAACGCTTCGTAACCTCCTTATGCATACTGTCAACTAAGGAAACCAGTGCAAGTAACAAGATTTAAGAGCATTATCCACATTGTTGCCTTAGATTTTAGATTAGATGTCGTTATTGCTGTTATTGATATTGCTGATGTTGCTGCATCTGTTGTTGTTGTTGTTGTTGTTGTCGATATTGTTGCTGTAGTAGTAATAGTTGCAGCAGTAGTTGTTATTACCGCTGCTGAAGTTGTCGTTGTTATTGACGCTATTGATCTACAACAGCAACAGCAACAGCTACAACAACAACAACAACAACAACAACAACAACAACAACAACAACAACAACAACAACACCAGCATCAGCAGCAGGAACAACGGCAGTAATAACATGTACAACAGTAAAATATGACTAAATGATGATGATATTTAAATTTTCCTAAATATAAGTATCGTTAGAGAGACACTGAACAAATACAGACATAATATATAAAATATATAAACAAAGTTACCAAAATTAGGGCCACCTGAAACGTAATTAAAAAAAGCAAGAGATGAAGGTGGAGTGTTACCTGTCGCTGTAAGGCCATTTAAACAAATTTCATTCTGCCTTGCTTCTAGCATATTATCCGTAAACATGGCCCTGAAATAGTCGCTACATGCTGCTAATACTGCTTTATGTGCTCTGAAGACTGTGCCTTCTATAAAAAAAAAAAAACACAATAAATATGCAAAGAGTTGTAATTCGAAACGTTGTCTACCTATGACTAGGGTAATATCCAGCAATGCGCCTTTTTGCCTCAAGGAATTCAGTCCCTCTAGAAGGTTGGCTTGGTGAAAGGCGTGCTCATAGCAAATGGTGTTGAAAGGCTTATCATGTAGGTACTTTTCTTTTGTCTTTGTCATTTTTTAAATTTTCTACCACTAATATATCTGAAAAAATATATCATTAAGAACCAACGCAAAGTGATAAACACTATAGGCCATTCAAAATGCGCAATACTGTACATGAACAGGCGGATTTATTGTAACCTAGAATGTACCTAAGTAACAGCAACTGCTGTGTTAGCTATAATAGTAGTTTATTTGATCCATTAATTGTCGTGAAATTAACTTTTGCAATCCGAAACAAATATTTCCAATTCTGCCAATCGCGCAAAGAGCCATTTTTATGTACAGTATTAGATAAGTGTGGTGACACTTAATTTAGTGCTATTATAAAATTAATTAGCGATGTAACTGTAAATATAATGAGGCAGATGGTCCACTGGACGTTGACCAACTGGTTGTTTTAAAAAAAAGGTTAATTGTATTTGCGTAATTATTCACTATTACTTAAGCATATACTTTTAACGTCACTATTATATATTTTTTATGATACTGTCACTAAGAAATATAGAAATCATTCATCTCCCATCTGTTCATAAAAAAATATCATGGAAATTAGTTACATTCAAGATTTTTTGTGTTAGTTGTGTATGTTAGGTTAAAAAATAGCATTATAGAAAAAAGAATGAAAATGTAGAGATAACAAAAAATGTTTAATAGGCCACAAATCCGGAAAAAGCGCAGGCTATTACAGGAATATTTTAACATGGAACAATTTACATTCCATTTAATACAACGATCTTCAGGCTAATGGCCAGAGTATCCTTTGTGCTAGACGTGTCTGGTACCATTCTTGTATCTTATTACCCGGAACATTATTGTTGCTTTAATAACAACTATTACGTAACAAAGTGGTGAAATGTTGGTGCCTTCTCACACGGCCAGTTTTCGTAACGGTGGAACAATATTCAATTAACGGTGATAATTACGAGAGTACGGCCTCATTGTTTATTGTTGTTATAAAACCGTTGGTAATGAGAACAGTTACAAGAAGAAATCGATTTTTGAGATGACGGCGCGTCTGTTTTGATAATTTATACAGCTGTCCCAATTTATAGGTTTACGGGTCAAATTCTAATATATTTTATTCATTGTTAAGCCTACTACGATATTTTGCCAATTTTCAAAAATTGTATTAGTATTTTTTTTTTTTGTACAGATCCATTAGATACATAGGACAAAAGGTCCGCCTAATTGATGACATTGTCCATATCATTAGAAATTAAGTCGTCCGCGGCCAGTGCGATCAACGCCTTCAGATCTAAGAAAGCGTGCCTCAAAAAGAGACAATTAACTTAAACTGTTATAATACGGTGATAAACATAACAAATGTAATAGATAACAATGATAAATGTTTAATTTATTATATAAAAATAAATTTATTTTAATTATAAGTGTCCGGAAATTATGAGCAAAATATTTAGAAAGGATTCTTAAAAACTACATTCTTTTAAAAACTCAACATTAACGAAGTTACATAGCCAAATAATACACATTTTTGGTCATAATTTTTTCAGTTAGACGATTCCTTTTCAGATTTGACATATGTATATGCGAGTATTACCGATAATTAACAAATGACTGCAAATTTAATTATAACTTTTTTATTTAGAGTTTTTCAAATGATTAATGAAATATCAAATTAATATTAAAAAACATTATTCCAAGTCGATAACAATAACTTTAAACAGTTAATAAAGGAAGTAGGATGTTAACATAAAAGAAAGTTGTTTAATAGATACAGTTGCAAGCATTCAAATATGTCAAAGCATCTAATTACACTGATTAATTTTTTTAAATTTAAAATCAGATGTAGGTAGTAATACTATTTTAGGTATATAATAAGAATGTTATATAGGGTTCAATATGCTCTCATGGATAACTTCCTTGCTCCAGTGTTAAGTCTTATAACGGTCGAAAATTGTCTTATGTTATCCGGAAGCTCTTTCCAAAAAAGAGGAGAGAAAAAACCTATTACCTTTTGTTAATTCTGTTAGCATTATTAGTACAATTGTATTTTTGGAGAAGCCTAGTTGTATTTTTGGACAGCAACTGTATTTTCATAACAAGCCGTAACAAGCCACAAAGAGATATTACTAACAAATTTTTACCGATCTAGCTTATTATGAATATATATTTTTATCGAGATGGAGTAATTACAGTTAAACAGTGTTTAAGGTTCAGAATAACTTATAAATAAGGCCGCAATTCAATGGCGTGTCAAGCGAGTCAACCGAGACATGCGTGAGTCGCTGCCTCAGAATGCTTTTCACGCTCATGTCACGTAAGTATACTGTTGCTTCGTTATCGTGCGGATGTTGCGTAATTAATACCTATCTCTTGGTATTTATGGTGATGTATTGTAGACAATTTAATTTGTTTCTTTTTAATAAATAATGCGTACGCCTATGTCCCGAGGCGCAGTTCTGACAGCCCTACTAATATTTTTTTTTTCTGGAATTTGAAAGGAAATAATTGATAAAAATTAAACAATTTTTTTCTTGGGCTGTGCACTTGGAACAAGAAGACTTTTTTGTAATACATTTTAATGATCTTTGATTTGAAGTTAACAGTTTTCAAAAATCACAAAAGTAAATTTTCTTGTAAATAAATAAACCTCTTGAAGCTTTAGAATTTTAACGATTTTTTTATAAGAGCAAATATGAGTTTAAAAAAATAAATCTGAGGTTATGTAACTCCGTTAATATTGAGATTTCGAAAAAATTTTCGGACATCCATTACAAGTAAAATAATTTTTTTAATCATTTTTTGAAAATAAATTTTTTAATAAAAAAAACCAATATGATCTATATTGGAACTTATACTCTTTATACACAAAGATTATTCTCTATGTTTGTTGTTAACGCCCCCTCCCCCTACTCTATACTAACCAATGAAATACTTCAAAAAGTTAAATAAAAAAACAGTAAGATTTTAAGGAAGTAAAATCATTGGTTATTTGGTTAAATGTATAAATTAGTAGATTTAAGAATAAAGGTAACTTGAATCAGAAAATGTTACGTTTTTTTTTAATTTTCATGTATGTTTTGTTCCGTTTATTGTGATAAAACATGTATCATAATTATAGTTTCTTGAGCGCCAACAAACAAACGATTTATTATTATAATCCACTCGTTTCCGGAAACCCTGTATATTGAATGACAAATTTTCCGTGTTTATTGGTTCCTGTAATTTATTAATTGTGGTAAATTTACTAACCTCAATAAAATCACCAGAATGGCAAATATAAAAAAGTTTAATAAGAAATATTCGGCTTTATTTGCTTTTTACTTACTGTAAAATGGATTGTGTCTGTACAACTACAAATTGGAACACTGAAGATAAGGCCCGAACAAATCATTTCAACTGAACGGGGCCTATATTTTCCGCAATAATTTTAAAAATAGATACGGAAAATCATCACGGCGACATCTCCCATTTCAATAAATAAAAATGCGACTATCCAATCCGCAAAGGTAAAAAAGATCAATAACTGGAGATTGTCGTTGCCTGGTTACCAAATAACAGTTCATAGAGTGTAAGTCAGAAAATTCGCGACAGTAGTATCGTTTGTTACATTTTTCCACTCCAACCGGAATAATGGCGGAGTCCACATCGACGGAAACGACTTCCTCGACAACAGCAGACTCGACCTCCGGGAAGAAGACTGGCACCATTCTAACGGTAAAGTTCGAAACTGAGAATTCTGAGGTCTTCACTCAGTCCTTTCCAAGTGATATCAATATATACATCGTGAAGCAACGTCTGGAACAACTACTCGGGGTCCCTTCCGAGAAGCTAGTGCTGCTGCACAATCAGGATGTTGTCCCTGAATTCCATAAATTGGAAATACTTAAACCAGACCAGTACGATATGCTTCAGCTGAAGATCCTCACCAACGACAGTGCCTTCAGAATTGATATAGTCAACGTGTATAAAGATTTGGTGGTTCCTGATATCCTCACCGTGCATGTGGAGACGGAAAAAGACGGAGAAAAAGACGTGGTGGTAGAAATTGAGAACCGTGTTATAGAAAAACCGTTCTTGGGAGGGTACAGGCACGTAACCACTGGCGTAAAATACCTCCATGGGTACACCCAAACAGGTCCTTTAAAGTCTAGAGTTCCACCGGAGATGAAAAGTCACAGGGACACCCAAACGTACATTCTAAAGAATAGGAGGACTGAAATGGAGTATTCTAGAGCTACGCAAGTGGCTACGAAGGACATTTACATTCCCAGCCTTTCAGATAAGATTGTGACTTCGGGACCTTACGAAACCGCCGATGAAAGGGAGAAACGATTGGATGTTGCTGGAAAAGTGAGAACCATTAAACGGTAAGTGGGTTGTATTTCCTGAAGAGTAGTATATATTTATACTTTTGCATGTACAGGATGTCAAGAAGTAGTGTTGCAAACAAATATAGTCTTCATAAATGTTTACAAGTCACTGACCGCCGAGCTTAGGCAACCCGACATTGCACTATTGGTACTGGTAACGAAAATTCCCTAAATCTGGCCAATATTCATGATTCGTTTACAATGAACAATGACAAACCGTTACGTCTACGCTCGAGATAATGCGATCACTGATTTGTTGAAAAGTATCTCGTGATAAATTACACCATTCACAGACGGTGAAACAGAACGTTGTGTTTTAATGTAACCTTGATCTTACTATTTTAATCATATTTAATTTTACCCAAAATTTAATAGCCAACACAAAGAAAATAAAATTACTATTCCAAACAAAATTACTGGTCACGTGGCTATAAATAGAAATAATGGCATATACCTATAGGGAAGCAATAAACACGATTTTGAAAATTTTCTAAAAAAACTCGACATACTTTATTTTTAATTTTCTCTGGTGGTCAAGAAACATTTTTTTTAGCTGTAACATCACTTTCATGTGTTGTATTAATCCATCCTTCGTTAAAATAATGTAGACATTTTTCGTTCCAGTTTCATAAATTATTTTCTTTCAATATTTTAACTTCGAAATTTACATTTTATAACAAAAAAAGTGATTTGTTTTAAATTAAAATTTCGTTTAATGTTTGTTTTTAATATTTTGCAGCAGGTCCGTAGATATTCTCGTTGTGTAATACCTATTAATAATAATTTAGCGGATTTCTTGATGAATTTATGAGGACAGCTCCATGTTGTCAGTTCCGTGTTAAGTTGTAAATATGGAACTGATGTTAATACGCACGGAATTGACATTAATTATAATTAATATACGAGGTGTTCCATTTTAAATAACGCATTGCGATATTTTCTTAGGTAAGCAACATTGAAGAAAAACTTTTCAGATATAAGTTGAGTGTAGTGAAAAGTTCGATGGTGACCTTGACTCAAAGGTCAACCGTAGAGGTCATTTGCATGGACCAGAAAGTTTTAATTTTAATTTAATAAATTCAGATACGTCTTTATGTAATGGGTCAAAGTGAGTGAGGTTATTTTAAGGTCAAATACTGTTCTGAATAAAATTTTGAGATATTTTTTGTGAAAGCACTTACGACGAAGGATGGAAAACGCTTACGACGCAGGGTTCTGGTCGAAAGTTTTATGGTTTGATACGATCATACGATGATGACCTTGACAATGACCTAGAAGTCAAGCTTGAAGGTTCTTTGAAGGTCAAATTAAGTTAACGAAATAGGACAACCCTATTTGCAGCCCGATCAAGGTAAGGCAAGATTGTTATGGCCCAGCCAGTCAAGGCAAGATGGCTACGACCCAGATAGCATACGCAATATCGCTTCGATCCGGCTGGCCGGATCATAATGACGTTGCCTTCACTGTCTGGGTCATCGCGATCTTGCCTTGACCAGCTGGGTCATAACGATCTTGCTTTAAGTTAATAGGGCTGCAAACAGGATTCTCCTATTTCATAACTTGATTTGACCTTCAAAGAACCTTCAAACTTGACCTCTAGGTCATCGTTAAGGTCATCATCGTATGATCCCATCAAACTATAAGATTTTCAACCAGAATCTTTCGTGGTAAGTGCGTTCCAAAAAAAAATAACTCAAAATCTTTTTCAGAACATTATCTGACCCTAAAATAACTTTGACCCATAACATAAAGATATTTGAACGTAAAATTCTCCACTAACAACTTCCGGTGTCAGAAATATATAACTATCATATCTAAAAATCCAAATTGACCCTCAAATGACCACTACGGTTGACCTTTGGATCAAAGTCGAATGTCCCGCTGGAAACCCTACAACTTCTGCCTAAAAAGTTCTTCTTGAAAGTGCTTCCCTAAGAAGATATTGCAATGTATTCAATATGGGACACTTTGTATAACATTATAATATACAGGTTCGGAAAGTTCCCATGGTTCATCGGCCGTTACGTGAGAGCGATAAAGTAAGTCATAGAAATCCGTGCGATAGGGAAGGATGGCTATAATGAAGGCGTCTCATAGTCACCGCCCGTTTCGCCCTTCCACAAATAAGAACCACTTCCACTTGAAATTCAGCGACCAGTGGTCATCTTTGTTTTCGTCATTTGGCTTTTCTTTAATAGATGCCACTACTTATACAATTTCGACTTCGGTATTCCAATATGTTAATACAATCCATTAACAGAGGGCAGCACAACGCGTAACAAAAAAAAACTTTTTACAGTAGCTAGTAGATACTTCTGTTTGTAAATCTGGTGACCTTGTTTCCCCTACTGAGAAGTTATTCAAATGGAGTATAGTGCTTAGGTGCATTTAAAGTTCATTTAGTTGTTATTTAAGCATACTTTTTAAAATGACTTAAAAATCCCAAGAAATAAAGCAAAATTCCCTATTTCCCCTAATTCCAAAAAAATCTGTAGATCCGGCATCACTCTTTCTAGGGCTACGCCTCACCTTAGACAAATTGTGCTGCCCTCTGTTAACGGATTGTATTAACATCGAAGTCGGAATTGTATAAGTAGTGACATCTATTACAGAAAAGGCAAACGACGAAAACAAAGATGACCACCGGTCGCTGAATTACAAGTGGAAGTGGATCTTATTTGTGGAAGGGCGAAACGGGCGGTGACTATGAGACGCCTTCATTATAGCCATCCTTCTCTATCGCAAGGCCGCCAAAAATCTCGCAACAATTGCTTCACTTCAATCGGATGAGTAGTTCAAAAGTTATGAAGAAAAAACGGGAAAAAAATCTTACTTCAACGGCCTCTGTCTCCGAAACAGTGCGATTTAGGAAATAAGTTTATATCATGAACATTATTTTAACCTGTTCAATCGATTCCTGAAGTTTTTCAGATTAAACCTGAATCACCCTGTATAATATTTCTGACGGCTAATAAAAGTACCAACTATTTCTGTAAAAAATAATAATATTGTTTATGAATAAACCAAAAAAAATCTATCTTTTTAGACCATAGCTAACTACGCTTCCCAATAAAAAAATATGTTTCATAGTTTTGTAATCATGAAATTTACTAAAAACTATGATTAATCGGTTCCGCACCGAAAAGTTCATAAGAAGCAGTTATTCCTTTAATATTAATTAATTGTCCGAGTTTTTTCAAGTGTAGCCTCCTTCCGCACAGCCTTTGGCTTTGGATTTGGGGGTTGTGTCATTTCTGTGGTGTGTTTTTATTTTAAGAGTAATAAAAAAATATTTCATAAATCAATATTGCCCTGCAACTTGAAAATAAATGATAATACCAAATATCTGATATAACAGTTGAATTTGTCTTGGAAATCCAACTCGAAAATTTATCACGTTTTTTCCTATTTATAGTAATTTCTAAGATTCCACAGAATTCGATTCAATATTTCGTATTGGAACTTTTTGCTAATCAGATTCAAAGGCCAAATGTAGTTTTAAATTATTTAGCATTAAAGCAATCATTCACAAACACTACTGTCTAAAATGCACTATTGAACTATTTTAATGATTTTTTTAAATCTGATGATGTTAAAATAAAATTCATAAACAATTAACAAAGTGTGGAATGTTTTCTAACATAACTTGTTTGTTTTAATTTTTTTCAAAGGTTTGCTTCAAACACCAAAAGTTCGGATTCTAAATAAAAAAAAGGTAATCTTGTTTCAAATCGGAAAACTCAGTAAATAAGAAGTAATTAATCCACCAGTAAAAGACAAATTATTTACTTTTTTCAAAGTTCTAATGTTATTGGTGGTGATACAAAAACCCTTCTTGAATGGTTAGCCCAGAAGATGAAGATTTGTGCAGGTGAGGAGGCGGCATATTATTAATCGATAGGCCGTATTTGTGCCTAGGAACGATTTACCCCATGATACAAAGACTAGAAGATATGATATTGCGCATAACCGCAGTCATGTTTATAACATCAGTTGGAGATGTAGTGGAGCGTACACGCGCCAATTTGTGGATATGCACGTGATCCGCTTGTTCCTGTGACTGTGTAGTCTCCATGTCTGTGACGTTATATAAGTATTCTGTCGCCAATTCACACTCAGCTGACGTCATGCGTCAAGCCAACCGGTTTTGGTTCACGGGAATATCATATCTTGTATTTTTTGTACCATGGATTTACTCTATCCAACGTTCAGTTCAAGAATGAAGGCAACCTAAAAACGCGGCCACTTAAACAGTTAGACTACCAACCGATATGTGTAGAGATGTAGGATATTAATGTAAGGAACCAATGCTGTTGAGTAATTTTGTAAAACTTGTGCCAACTACTGATTTGGAATTATTTTCGAATTTTTGAGCAGAATTCGACGAGTTCAAATATTATGATGACAAACATCTCTCATCTTAGCCAAAATTGCTCTTTCTACGTCATGTATGAATTTTATTGCAACAACGTTTGCCAACTTTTTAATTTAGGCTTTAAGAAGTTATGGCTCCATTGTAACATATTTTAGCGGGTAGTTTGTAAGACTATTTTTTGCCATCCTGTATATTTCTTAACTCTGCAGGTGTGTTTTGGTTCCGACAGAGAACGGTTCAAATTAGTCGACCATTCCATTTACAAGACCATCTAAGCCAAGACGTACTGACAATACAGTTGGGTAACGATTCTCAAATATTCTAGGACTGTCCACTAACAGAACCAAAACAAGCCTTATATCACCAACGCCAAAAACCTTCTTTTATCTAGACTGATCTGCGTTTCAGATATTATCGGTCATGGAAGTTAAGGAAATGCATAAAGGAACTTAGTGAAGAATACCAGAAAAGAGTGCGCCTGCAGAGGGAGCTAGAAGAACGCGAACAAAGGGAGGACGAAGAACGCAGAAGACGAGATATCATCAGCAAAGTGTTCCCAATAACCCCTGACGATTTCGCCATGTTGTACACGATGGTGGAACGATGGAAAAAAGCTGAACTGGCCAGGATATCTTCCACGCACTGCGGTCCCTCTAAAATAGCCGAGTTTTACTTGGTCTTGGATAAGGAAGTTGAGATCTTACGATCGATACAGAATATAAAGAACAAGGCGGCCAAAGACATGGAGGTAAAGAAGACTCTGGATTTCTTCAAAGCTATCGGTACGCCTATTGAGTGGTACAGCGACTATAAACACTTGCACATCTCCATGGATACTTTGCAGACGCAGAGGGGTCGCGAATTTTTCGCTTTATACAAGAACCTTTGCGATAAGTCATTGAAAAGAGGAGAAAGATTGGAAATATACCTCAAAATAAAGGAATATCTGTGTAGCCATGTCTGTGACGACAGGAAACAAATCGTACCCCTCATAGACAGGGCATGTGAGTTGATAGTTAGGGGAATGGACGAGAAATATTTGGAGACTTTGGAGTTGCGGATTGAGGCGATGGTGGTGCGTCACTTCCAGTTGCCAGAGTGCAACGAGGGAGTCACCACGTACATGAAGAACATGAAACAGAAGCACATGGAGAAAAACCTGCTGCTCTGTCAGCGGTGCCAAAAGCTTAAAACTGTGGATAAATTCACCTTGAACGCTAGAATGGACACAATAAAGGTTTGCACCAGCTGTAAGTGGTTGGATAAGTCCGAAGAGCCTTGGATCGACTTGTCGCCCTATAGATTCATTCTGAGGCAAATTAGAAACTACGAACGCCTCCACAAAGCTACATCGTCAGTGGCCTTCATCCTGCAAGACAGAGACATCCACTATATCATGACATATATCTGGCACGGGCACTCAGCGTTGTCGGAATGTACAGATCAATACCAGTTGAGACTGTGCAGGTGGAAGGTTAAAGAGGAATGGTCACCTTGGAACTGTATTTTGCTTACAGTGGACGAGGCAAGGGCACATCTGGATATAAAGGACTTGGAGGAGGTTTACGAAGAAGAGTTCATAAACCACATCTTCAACAAGCATGCCTTGGCTAAGAAGCACTTCTCGCAACTAGTAGGTTACGACAAACATTTCACTGATTATGCCAAAAATGACTGCAGGTTAGAGGACGATTCTGAATTTTACAACAAACCCGAGTATGACTGCTTGTTTGGGCCAATAGAATAATTTTTTATGTAACTGTGATCGAAGTTGTCTTAGTGCTGTAATATGTACCCAAAATAAACGGATACGAAAAATAAATGAGATTGGTCATTTTTTTGGTCTTAAGTACGAGTACGTTGGGAACCGGGTCTGCTCTGGAGTTCTGGAGTTGTGTGGAGGGTAGCAAAGCTACAGCACTTAGGCCCCTTTGGGCCCCTTGTACTTCCTCCCATTAGAGAGATCAATCCACCTGAGCCGCCAGCCAGCCTATTACAGTGAAAAAGGTGGTGATGTTGCTCAGGGGGATCTCTCTAATATAGGCCATTGAAGGCCAGCTGGGGTCCGGGTCATTGATTCCTTTCATTTAAGGGAAAACAATTCTATGAATGTCCTAGTTTTCGAGATCCACGATGTTGAAGTTTTTGAAAAATATCACATCCAAATATTTTATTGTACCTTAAGTAAATAATTTTGGGCAACCGTCATTAGTACATTAATGTGAATATTTATGAAGCTATTTGATGTAAAGAGATAACTAAATAAAGGCAAACAACTGAATTTTTATATAATTATGTCAGTGTCAATTCCCGAATTTTTGTACCGTTGAGTATTTTTAAAAATTTGATCTCAGTCCAGTAGATTTCTAATGCATCACAAAGACCACAACTGCGACTTTAATAAAATAAAGACATTAATAGCTTCAGATAATAAATCTTTTCCGTTTTATTATCATAGAAACACTTTTTTAGCGATAGTACAATTAAAATAACTTCATAGATAAAAAGAATGAGGCCGACCGAAAATAAACCAGACCTTGTCATTTTCCAGTAATTATTATTCTTGCCCATATGACCTTCCTGTTTTCATTTTATTCTTCTTTATTAGTTTGCTTGTTTTATCACTTTTCACTCAAGATTAACTTTTTATTCTGTTCTTTCTTGTCATATTTTGCATCTTATAACTGAAACATTATTCATTAAACAATTATGGAGAAATAAAAAATTCCAGTTGATGCAGAACATACAGTGTGCACAATGTCATGCAAATTTCGGAAACTGGAAATTTTTTGGAAAAATCGCTCGGGTAGGTCAATTTTGTTTTTTTCTGGGGGGATGAACAGATATTAAGTTTTCAAAAATGTAACCAGTGATGGCGGGAGGAGGATAGGGTTGCTGTAGGTCAATTTTATTTTTTTTTGGGGGATGAACAGAAATTCAGTTTTCAAAAATGTAACCAGTGATGGCAGGAGGGGGATAGGGTTGCTGTTTTAAAGTGTAACCACCTTTTTTTTTATTGGGCCGTATGAAAGCTTCTGATTAATTTGGTGTGCTACATGTTTGAGAAAATTTTGGAAAAATCGCTTGGGTAGGTCAATTTTGTTTTTTTTCTGGGGGGATGAACAGAAATTCAGTTTTCAAAAATGTAACCAGTGATGGCGGGAGGAGGATAGGGTTGCTGTAGGTCAATTTTGTTTTTTTTTTGGGGGATGAACAGAAATTCAGTTTTCAAAAATGTAACCAGTGATGGCGGGTGAGGGGGGTAGGGTTGCTGTTTTAAAGTGTATCCACCTTTTTTTTATTGGGCCGTATGAAAGCTTCTGATTAATTTGGTGTGCTACATGTTTGAGAAAATTTTGGAAAAAATCCAAAACAAATTTTTTTCGAAGGTATAAACACATTTTGTTGAAATAGTTCTTTTTATTAGATTTTAATGAATCAAATGTTCAACCTGCCGACCGCCTGCAGCTCGACAATGATCCAGTCTATCGACAAACTCTCTGCACATTCCTGATTGTTTCAGGGTGGTATTTGACTGATTTCACGGCGAATGCGTTGTCAGATCTTAAATGTTGCCGTTCTGTGACCATATACCTTGCTTTTCAGATGTCTACAAAAGAATGTCAAATGGGCAATAAAATAACGTGAAATGGCTTACTTGTTAAATGAATAGGAAAATTTTAAAATCAAATAGGGGAACTAAAAATTAAAAATAAGAGCTGAAGTTTGGTGAGAATATTTTTTCCAGTATCTTGAACAATATTTCGTCAATGGAGCGAAAAAAAGAAATGTACGTTTCGAACGAAGCACCCTAAATAACATATTCTACAGTTTCTAAGACTGTACGATATTTTTTGTTGTGAAAAATAATGATGGGTATCAAATATGGTGGTCTAACTGGTCGACCACACAAAAATTAGTATAAAAACATTGCAAATCAATTTTAGTCGTAATATTCAATACTGTATATTATTATAACTGAAATATTATTCCGATCACACTTAAAAAAATGTAAGAAATATCTACGCCGCTAACAAGAGTAACATTCCTGTAGCACCTCCGCAATCGTGACTAATGTAATTTTGGCAACCTTGAAAGAAACCACAATTTTTAAGCTCAAAGGTTACCTCTTGATCGTTTCACATCGCCAGGACAAATAAATGTAAATAGCTGGCAGTGAATGTTGTATGTAAATTTTATTGGAAAACTAGCTTCGACTGGAAGAATTACGCTGCATTAAGAGACAATTTCAGTGCAGTTGTAGTAGGTATTTTCTAATGCATGAGAACAAAAGTAGGCCTTTCACTAACTGGGAGTGACCACAAAAAATAGAAATGTCCGCCGTCTGCGAGTGTCGACTGTGATCAGAACGGAATATGGTGTGTTTTATATAAATAAATTAGTCTTATAAGCTGTTGCTTATATACCACAAAAAGTGAGTGACCTTGGTTAATTTAAAGTAAAATTAAGTACAAATTTCACATTCTAAGGATGACTTAACAGAAAATAATTAAGGGGCCAGTTGCTCCCCCTGTATACGCCACTGGTGGCTGTGTAGTCGCCTGAGTGTAGATCTGCAAAATATACTCGATTTAATCAGAACAAAACGCTAACGAAATGACTGATCTCACTCTTTGGATGTGTACCTAGGAAGCTAAAACCATGGAATCTTAAGCAAAGCAAAAAGAGCATAATTTATTACCAGAAAAATCGAAGAAAATTATATCAGTAAACATATAAAAAATTTATTGATTACCGGGCCGAAAATAACATTGTCTTTTTCAGAAAATGTACTATTAGTATATTTTTCTAAAATAGGCAAAAGAATGAAATCTTCATTATGGTCAATATATACGATGCTCATAGCTACTTTCAATGTCTACAACAACATCGATATTGGAAAGTATCTGAAATTAAAAGCATTCTTGAACCAGCAATAGGATGGATAACGATATTGCTTTAGATGGCAATGATTTTACCATATCTGGGGCGTGTCGATATGAATAACTTTAAATAAAAATAGGAGATATTGAAGATATGGGAAATAGATTGCTGATCACTCTGCCAACAAAAAAAAAAAACTAAGAAAAAACATTCTTTATTGTAAGCGAATATTTAGAAATAAATCGGAAATATAGTACCTCAAGACCTACACAAATAGATAGCAACATATATTTTTTTAAATATTCAAATGGTAAAGCATATAATCAATTAATAGAAAATTATACATTTGAGAAAACCCCAAAACACGTTACTGCGTTTCTTAACTGAAGGCCTCGCTGAAGGCTATATTAAAGAGTCCATAACACGTAAATCAGATGTTAGCAAAGAAAGATTTCCCTACTGCAAGTACATCAAGTGCTGGAAACGATTTTTAAATAATTTAACCACTTTGGAGGATTCAATAGTTCATAAACCATCTACTAATGAAAACATCTCAACCTACATAGACGAAGTAAATGTTTAAAAAAAAAGGGGCTGTTCTAATTTCACTATAAATACGATACATAAAATTACTTTGGTTAAATCTTAATTTTTAATTTAGTGGCAAAAATGATTAAAATGCTTAAGGCAGTAAATGTGATACTTCAGTGCCTGAGAGCTGTCACTAAAACTACGCCTTTAATGTCAATCGAAGAAAAAATATTTTGTACTTTTTTGCACAGAGATCGAAAAACAAAAAAGTTACACAAAATACATGCTAAATATTTACATAAAATAAATTATAAAAGAAATGGGAAACGACTACATTGTAATACTGCAGGGTGTTTAAAAACTTAGATAGGCGTTATGAAGAATAAATAAATCGAGTTGGAAAATTCTATCAAAAAGTGATCAGTTTCATTCATTTTCAATACAATATCTTGATCACACAACATTTTATGAATTTGAGGCCATTCGAATATATCATATTTCGATTTAGCACTGCTAATTTTGGGAAATTTATCTCTCAACTACATCTACCCTGTTCAAAGCCTTAATGAATCATTCAATCATTTGTCCAAGTTTTATATGTAGCGGAGGAAATAGACGACGGATCTACCAGACGTTTTGAGTATAATTCGTCACGATATCAGTTGGAACCGCATAAAAACATTCTACATAAACTATCTAAACGGAATCCATAGGCGTCAAGAAAAATTTTGCGTCTCGTCTAGATATACTATATTCCGAGATATATTCCTATTTAGTTGACGATATTCTCTAATTTTTTGTATATAATCTTCTCGAAGTGCAACTATACGTCGTGATTCCATAATTGCCATACGATTGTCAAGATTTTTATGTTTAAACCCGCATTGTAATAAAACATGTCGCAAAGTATCTAAAGATTTATAATTATAATCAGGATAATCACTTAATTTATCTCGAATCATGTTTAAAGTAGGAACTTTTTCTTTATATATATATATATATATA